TCAGGTTGTAGATTCCACTAAGCTCCTCGGCGCCACCATAGACAACAAACTAAATTGGAAAACACACGTCAGTGAAGTTGTCAAATCCTCCAGTTTCCGTCTCCACCTCCTCCGCCGACTCAAGTCCCATGGAGTTACTGCACCCGAGCTGCTCAATGTTTACTCGACATTCATACTTCCTAAGCTCACCTATGCCTCCCCTGCCTAGTCTTCCTCCCTAAATGCCACACAACGGAAACAGTTAGAAAAAGTGCAAAAGAGAGCATGCAAGATTATTCTCTCCCGTTCCTACTCCACATATCAAGAAGCTCTCAACACACTGACTCTCTTGGCTCTCACTGACCAACACCACGACATCATCTGCAAATTTGGTGAGAAGCTTCTGCACCATCCTCGACACCGGCTCCTACTACCACCCGAGATCCCTCGTCCGAGAATTGCTCTTCGACACCTCAACCGCATCCAGCCCATACGAGCACGAACTGATCGCTGTAAGAACAGCCCAGTCCCAACCATTGTAAAAATTATCTAACTCGTAATCAACCAATGTGTTACACTTCCAGTCAATCTTATTTTTTTGCACTGTCACTATGTTGAAATGCCCTTATAATGAAACAAAACACAATGAGAGATTATTACATACATAAGTAAGAATAGAGAGTAGAGGATGTAAAGATAGGAAACTTGGTAGCGTGGCCGGGATGTTATTTACTCAGAGTCAATACGCTTATCTTATCTCGTATGTCAATACACATATATCACTTCTTAAAGGGACAACTTGTTAAACACCTCTTCGGTACAACTATTTATTAATTCACTCAATGACATGGACACATTAATATCACTATTATATCGGGGTACTAACACATTATGTTTTACGTTACTCGACACTGACTCTCGGACACACCTGAACGAATACACTTCCCACAGTAGGTAACTCACCCAAGGACGTTCTGACAAGACTCACGTGTACCCTGACGCAGGCCCAGTGGATGCTTGGCTGGGCTGCCTCCTGTGGGAGGCTTCTGCTTAGCTGGGGTCTGCCGTGGTCTGGTCGGGAAGTCTCCCTCCCGACCTGGGGAGGGGACGTGCGTGACTCTGCTTAGTGAATCGAGTGACGACCCGAACGGGAGAGAGATGACAGCAACCAGAATGAGAATCAGTATGACCAGCATGAGGCCGTGGACGGGACTGTGGGGCCTTTATATGGGGGAGGAACAGCCGGCTCTGACCTCTGCCAATTAACACTAAACTGGTTTGATCTGGATAGCTGTGTGCAGGTGTGGTCCTGCCCAGGTGTCTTGGTTAGGTGCGGTTGTAGGTCACCCGGCTAACTCATGTCATTAGCGGGCGAGGTCAAGTCCCTAGGGTCGACCTGAGGTGTGTCAACCCGGAATGTGGTGGTACCACGAGGTCTGTAGTGTACTTGCTGTTATATGTGACAATTCTGGGCTGTAAGCTTTGGTCTGACAATCAATCATTACACCCTGTAGTATGACCTTCTCCCCACCTAGTTATTATAATAAATATTGATATCACTTACGTTATTTGTATATTATTTGTAAATCAAGAGACCCATTCCACAATTATGTAACTGTATATTTTCAGCTTTCAGGCTGCCATGCTCTTTCAATAAACCGGTAATTATTATAATCAATCAATCACACACACACACACACGCACACACACACACACACACACCACACACACACACACACCACACACCACACACACACACACACACACACACACACACACACACACACACACACACAAAACACACACCACACACACACACACACACCACACACACACACACACACACACACACACCACACACCACACACACACACACACACACACACACACACACACACACACACACATACACACACACACACACACACACACACACACACACACACACACACACACACACACACACACACACACACACACACCATGGACAGCAGCGTGTATTAGGTAACCCAGCGGCCTTATAGTGACAGTGTGGGGGTCTGGCCTGTCTGATAACACCTCCAGGAAGAGGAAGGACGGACGGACGGAGGAGGAGGAAGAGGAGCAGGAAGAGGAAGAGGAAGAGGAAGAGGAGGAGGAGGAGGAGGAGGAAGAGATAATGCTGCTGGTAGACTTGGTGTGGTAATATTAATGTTTTTTTGGAAGCGGGGTGGTGGTAGTGGTGGTGGTGGTGGTAGGGGTGGTGGAAATGGTGGTAGTAGTGGTGGTAGTGGTGGTACTGGTAGCGGTGTTAGGGGTGATAGTGGTTGGGGTGGCGGTAAAAGTGATGTTATTACTCTTATTATCAGTAGTAGTAGTAGTAGTAGTAGTAGTTGCAAGTCCTTCCTCATTGTGAAACCAGAACACAATGAACGGGCCAGTGGAGGTGTTCGGTGGAAGTTAGGTCCAAATAACAAAGGATGGCCAAAGACATCTAAGTGCGGTATCGGCACGAAGGACTTCAAGACAGAGTACGTAACGGGAAAGGTGAATGAGTGGATTAAGGAAATCCAA